ACAGAAGAGATCACCTGGATTTGTTTGCTCAGTGTGGTCAACTAGATTTTGATCAGCTTTGACACCAAGTAAGTGGAGGAAAACGAAACATCAAGCTCTTGGCCGATACTTCGCTGGAGATTTAGCCGGAGGAAAGAAAAGGAAATGCTTTGGTACGATGTGAAGAAGAGAGAGAGATACGAATACAATATTTGGTAAAGTTCATTACATTTCTACTTGCTTAAACCAAGTTATTTGCTTTCCGACGAAAGAGGAACTAACATTATCAGCCAAAACAAAGAAGGAGTATTTAGCATTCTTGGTAAGGTTTTGATTTAGTTTATTAGCTACTACTTTATTTTGATTATGTGTCATCAAACTCGCTTTTGATTCGGTGTTCACTTAGGTTATTACCAAACCAAATGATACAGTTTTTTTCTTCTTAAAATGAAAACCAAACCAAACGATACAGTTTAGTTTCTCAACGTTAACCTGGTTTACTATGTGCGTAGGTTTTGCTTCATTCATTTTCGGTCTTGTATTTACCCCAATCCACACCTTGATGCCTTCTAAAAACGTGATCGGGGACATTGAAGTATATACCCACTCTGTTCAGATAAACACATGCACTTAAAGATGTATGAATTATACTTGATGCTTGCTTTTCATATTTGTAAGCTGAGTGGATAGCATGTCGAATCTGCTCTTCTTCTGGCACAGTTGGTGCGAGATAAGTTCGACAGTGTAAATCTCCTCGTTATCTTTTGCGAGCAGCTTCTTTGACTGCAATTCGTAAATTAAGGTCGAGATGTGTAAATTAATGTTTGATCGGAGAAAAATTTTAAGGTAGAAACGAATTTATTGAACCCTAATATTGGAAGTCAAAGTCAAAGAGGTACAAAACAGACCAGTTACAAAACTTTAATCGTCAGCTTTTTTGGGAACACGTGGCCTCACTTCCTCTGCTAACGTGTCAAACTCATGGAGAGAGCCATTGATCTTTCATATAGTAGATTTTGTTTCATCGTTAATACTTAGTAATTATGATGGTTTTATAAACAAGGTGTATGATTTTTTTTTCCTTCATCTAACGTTCTTATTAAAATTTCAAGTTAGGATACAAAGCTAACAGGTGATAAAACGTCTTTAAAACTAAGCCGGCATAATTCTAATGAAAATGCTATTATAACGAAAAAAATCCTTGAAGAAGACAAACCTAAACAAGCCAACACAAAAACTGATTAAATCCGAAATCCGTTCAACTTAACCAACCAACCAACCAACAAGAATCATAAATTCATGAAAACTCCCTAAATGAATACCGAGAAAACCTTGAAACGGAATAACCAACCATAGACGAAACACGCCATATCGAATCAATATTACCTCTCAAATGATTTTATATTTTCATAATTTTACAATGATACTCCACTATTAATAGTTGAACCTTTCTTTCAAATGTGGCGAAATCAACCAATAACCAAAAGATGTATCGATAGAACGTAGAGACAAGGAGCGAAACTGATCAAATTCAGAAAGAACAAAGTTTGGAAACCGAGACAATCACTAGACGACCTAAACCGAAGAGACACCCGAAATGTATAATCTTAGAATTACAAACACTGATTTGTTTGTGTAGGTTTAGTAATATTAATTAAAACTAGGTGATCGTCCCGCACCATGTGCGGGTACAAAATATTTTAGAAAATAAG